CCTGGCACAGGGCAGCTCCAGGCTGGGCCCCCTGCCCCTGCCCTACCCAATACCCTGACCCCATTGCTGACCCTACACCCCAGCCCCTGGGGTGGGGGTTGGAGGGACCTGGAAAAGATCAGAAGCCATTTCTTGTCCCTCCCCGAGGGGCTCACCCCTTTCACACCCACGACCTCTGAAATAAGAATCTCGCTGTGAAAAGCCGGAACGGGAACATGGCGGACATCTTCCCAGACCTTTGCTGCCTGTCACCTGAAGGCTTGTTAGGAAATGCAGGCCCAGGCCCCCCTCAGACCTGCTGGATCGGGCTCTGCATTCTTAGCAGGATGCCCAGGAGGACACGCACGTGTGAGAAGTGCAGTGTGGACCCTGCTGACCCCACCCCGGCTCCTCCGGAGGCAAGCGCCTCAGCTGTGCTCACCAGCAGTTCTTCCCGGAGGTCCTGCCCCACAGGGGACCTGGGCGATGTCTGGGGGAGCTCCTGGCACCAAGTGGGTGGAGCCCGGGATGCTGCTTACCCCCCAGCAGGTGGCTCCCCCACAGAGAACATGATGACCTGAATGTCCACAGTTTCCCTTTAAGATGGACTTACGTGTTTTTTTTTAAAATATATTTTATTGATTTTTTACAGAGAGGAAGGGAGAGGGATAGAGAGTTAGAAACATTGATGAGAGAGAAACACCAATCAGCTGCCTCCTGCACACCTCCTACTGGGGATGTGCCCGCAACCAAGGTACATGCCCTTGACCGGAATCAAACCTGGGACCCTTCAATCCGCAGGCCGACACTCTATCCACTGAGCCAAACCGGTTAGGGCTGGACTTACTTTGTGTGAGCATTTTGAGAAGCTCTTTCTGAATGTCCACAGTTTCCCTTTAAGATGGACTTACGTTCGTGTGAGCATTTTGAGAAGCTCTTCGGAAGATGAACCCTGAGGACGTGCAAAGGCTCTGGGGCAGGTGAGTGAGGAAACAGGCTCAGGGAGCCAAGCGACTCCTGGGAAGCCTCCCAGCCCCTGGCTCCCACCCCAGGCTCTGCCCCAGCCTCGCTGCTGCTCCAGTAACAGCCGCCCACACCACGGGCCTCCTGCGATGATGCCCAGCCAACCAGGTTTCCTCTGGCCAATAAGTCAGCACATCGGCCTCCTGGGTTCCAAGCAGACAGCCTGGGAGTTTTCTCTGCCTTGACCTATTCCCTGATACAGCTGAGTCGTGTCAGCCGGTCAGGGAGTAAACTCCAGAGATGAGCATCACTCAGGAGGCGGATGCTGAATTTACATTCCTGGAGGTCACACGCAAGCTAGACTGGGACCCTCCCTGCCCCTTACCCTCGTTTGTTTTGCATGTTCAGAGAGAGTGTGGGAAATTCATCTTTCCTCACAGGAGGGCTGGTAGGTTTTAATTTTCATTCTTTTTTAAAAAAGATACGTGTGTGTGTGTGTTTTAATTCTAGAGGAAGGGAGGTGGGGGAGAGAAACATCAATGATGAGAGAATCATTGATTGGCTGCCTCCTGCACACCCCACACTGGGGATTGAGCCCACAACCTGGGCACGTCCAACCGGGAATCGAATCATGTCCTCCTGGTTCATCGGTTGACGTTCAACCACTGAGCCACACTGGCCGGGCTATTTTTATTCTTTTAAATGACTCTCCAGCACATCAGAGGCTCACAGGGCTTCGAGCATCCTGATTGGGTCTCCATGGAGACTGAACCTGTCTTGGCCCAGCTCCACCAGCCCAGCCTGGGGCTGCAAGCTGAGAACCAGGGACCAGGGGTGGCTCTGCTCCTCACCTAACCCTGACATCCTGCTCCCGCCTGGGGATGGGCAGGTGGCTGCCTGTAACAGTCATGACAACAGCCATTTATTGAGCACTAAGGATGTCCTAGGTGCTATGCTAAGCCTCACCTATGAGTTCACCAAATCCACGCCAAGGGCTTCATCCTATTCACTCTTTAGTCTCACTTGGCAAATGAAGAAACCAAGGCTTGGCTGCCTAGAGTGTGGGAAAGACAGTGTGTGATGCTGGGAAGTGTGTGGGCTCTAGGGTCAGGCTGGCTAGGTTCAAATCCTAGCACTCTCACTGTGTAACCTTGCAAAAGTGACTTGGGCCTCAGTTTGCCTCTCTGTAATATGGGTATAAGAACAGTATTTACCTCTTAATGGTTGCTATGAGGAATGGGCAGGGACCAGGGTGGGCTCACCTGGGAGCAAAGTTGAAGAGGGCACCAAAAAACATAGTCGTCACAGTAAAGGCAATTTTATTTTATTTTATTTATATATATTATTATTTTTTAAATATTCATCTGAGTGTATTTTTTCCATTGATAGGAGAGGAGAGGAGAGGAGAGGAGAGGAGAAGAGAGAGGAACATTGATGTGAAAGAGACACATCAATTGGTTGTCTTCCACATGTGCCCAAGGCCAGGGATCAAACCTGAGCCCCTCTGTCCCCAGGCTGACACTCTAACCACTGAGCAAACAGTCCAGGGCAAGATAAAGAATATTTCAATTTTTTTAAAAGATATTTTTATTGATTTCAGAGAGGAAAGGAGAGGGAGAGATAGAAACATCAATGATGAGAGAGAATCATTGATTGGCTGCCTCCCGCATGCTCCCCCATTGGGGATTGAGCCCACAATTCAAGCATGTGCCCTGATAGGGAATTGAACTATGACCTCCTGGTTCATAGGTCAACGCTCAACTACGGAGCCATGCTGGCCGGGCTAATGCAGTATTTTTTTAAAAATTAAAATTAATGGTCCCCAAATTCATGATGAATAAAATGTCAACATTTTAAATAGACAGAATCAGTATTACTGATTTTTCCTTTGGCTCAGCACTGCATTGTTAGTGATCCTGTCTTTGTTTTAAAATAAAGAAACACAATTAAAAATTAAATTCAGGTGCTTGCTTCGGCATCACATATACTAAAATTGGAATGATACAGAGAAGATTAGCATGGCCCCTGTGCAAAGATGACACACAAATTCGTGAAGCGTTCCACATTTAAAAAAAAAATTAAATTCAGAATTGGTAGACTGCCCCCACCCCCCAACACACACACCCTTGCTCAGTCTGGCACTTTCCCTGTTACAGTCTCCTCGAAGTTCCTCAAGCCTGTCAGGATGCTTCCTGCCCCAGGGCCTTTGCACTTGCTTTCCCAGTCTTATCTCAGCTCAAAGCCAAGCTCTGTCATCAGCCTTCCCTGAATTTGCCTCCTAAAGGCTTCCCTCCACTCATTTAGCTGTTTCTTTCATTGTATTTTTTCATAGTGTAAAAGTATCTTGTTTATTTACTTGTAACCACCCCCAGGATTTGTTGTGTGGATTGAATGAGTTTGTGCCTGTCAAGAACTTAGCACAGAGCCAGGTGCCTGGAAAGAACTATGCACTTTATCAGTAACATGTAAATATACAGCATATTACAATTAAATTACATTAAAGGGTTATAAATATTATGGGGGGGGGGAAGCCTGAGAAATGAGGTGATGGTGGATGAACAATTTTAGAAAGAATGGATAGAGAAAGTGTTGAGGGATTGAAGGTGCACCCTTTGGGGGAAGGGTATTCTAGGCAGAGGGCACAGCTCGTGCAGAGTCGCTGGGGCAGGTGGGTGCCTGGTGTGTTGGGAGAAAGGCCAGGAGGCCCCTGTGGCTGGAGCAAGTGAGCAAGGGGGGGAGAGGGAGGAGGTGAGGGTACGGAGGGGAGTGGGGCCCGGTGTGTAGGACATTGGGGGCTGCACAGAGGACTTAGTCTTAATTTTAGGGCATTTTTGGAGAGTTTTAAACATGATGTCCATAGAGTTCTTGGCCCAAATGCATCAATATCTTTTGAAATATTTTGAACACTGCAAGTGTGACAAAAATGTTACTGCTGGTTGTTGATGTAACAAACACGATTCCTATTTCTATTCAGTAAGTTATCAACGTAAAAGTGCTGAGCGCAGTGCCTGTATTATCAGACGTGTTCTTTCTTGTTGTTATTGATGAGTTGTGGTCTTAAAAGTGGCAAGAGCAGCCCAGCTAAGTAAAAGCCGGGCTCTACTTTTAGTGATGTTTCCTGTTGTTATCAGTTGAAGGAGCCAGTGACACCTGGACGTCAGGTCTGCCCTGCTGGAAGCCCCACCGTCACCCACCCAGAAGGCGGGGTTTGCGGCCCGTTGGCCTCAATTACCCAACCTGGACTGGGCTCCGGTTCTTACCCAACCTGGACTGGGCTCCGGTTCGCGGGCTGTGGAATGAGGGATGAGTGCAGA